AGGAGGGGGAGAGGAGGGGAGGGGAGAGAAGGGGAGGGGAGATGAGAGGAGGGGGAAAGGAGGGGAGGGGAGGGGTGGAGCTCATCTCCAGCCCCCACCTCCAGCCCCGTCAAGGTGAACTGCAGCAAGCATGCTGGATGCACAGGGAGCGGACATGAAGAAAATGCAGGTGGAGCTGGACAGCAGAGACAGGTGCATATGAAAAGGAAGGAGGCGCTAAAGCAAACACAAACTCAAAGTGAAATGAGGAAAACAGCTTCCTTTCTTCCCTGGCCACAGAGAAGGGCGGATGGAAATCTCTGAGTGCTCTGGGTGTCCGTCCCTCCAGTGTAAGCTCCAAATGTCTGTGAAATTAGCAAAATACCTAAATTGGACAAAGATTATACACTTGCTGCAGTTTCTTGTGGTTGTAAATCAGAGCGAGGACGCAGAGCCGACGTCGATCTGAAGGACGGCCGTTCCCTGCAGCGGAACCCTGGCTGTAAAAACGGTATTTACTTAGCTCATGTGAGATGAGGGTGGAGAGTGTGCAAACTGCCGTCATCGACGTCAGCTGCGAAATCGAAACAGTCAGCCGTACAGAAGAACAAGCAGGCGCACACGCTCAGGCACCGAGGTGGCCTGTGCGAAGACTGGAAGCCGATTCCTCGGCACTTTCCCTACTGTGAAAACGCCTTCACTCTGTGTGTAAACTGTACAAAGCAAAATCACGTTTCCCTCTCCCGGTTTATGGAGAGAAGTGGATGGGGAACAGACACAGCTCAGGCCCCTGTGCTCACCAGCAGCAGTCTCCTGCCTCAGGACAGGAGAGGCGACAGGCTAAGCTGACCAGCCCGGTACTCCACCTGCTGACACGGGGCGCTGCCCCCAGCTTCTCCACAGGGACACTCGGCCACGGGTGGGAGGCCACGTCACCCCAGCAGCTCACCCAGTGTCCAGGAAACTGTCCAGGCCGAGTCTTTGGCCGTGGCCTCCCCGTGTAAGGCAGGTCCTGGGAGGCGACAGCAACCTGGGTCCCACCCACAGTGGCTGCCACTGGCTGAGCCAGCAGGACGTGCCACCTCCAGAGGCAGCCGGCCCTGTGAGGGTGACAGTCCTGCAGTCAGGCCTTGAGTGTGTGTGTGCACGCACCTGTGTCAGTGTGTGCGTGTATGTGTGTGAGCCTGCACGTGTGTACCTGTGTGTGTATGAGGCCACAGAGTGCGAGCGAGCCTGAGGTGGGCGGAAGCACTCCCAGGGCAGGGCACAGCAGAGCAACGCCAACGCCTCTGTGATTAGGACCATCCTGCCGTCTCCACCGCTGAGACTACACACTTCAGGAGCTCCCGTGGGTGCGCACGGTGTCTCAAGAACAGCCTTGCTCAATCAAGGCCTTGCGACTGAAGGCAGCTCGTTTATTTTGCCTTCCATGGGTGCTTTCTGAAGGGACACTGGCAAGTGTGCCTGTGTGTGCTCGCAATGTGCTCTGAAGAGCAGGGTCTGTTTTTCACAAGAAAAGAGTTTAAAGGAGAAGCAGAGGTGCCGGAATCGTTTGCTCGGGGAGTGTGCGAGTCCCGCAGCACGCTGACCTGATGGAGAGAGGGCACCACCCAGGGGTTCACACACTTTCAATTCTGCTGGACAGGACCACGAGTCAGGGGGCCTGGTGGGCATAGGTGCACACGCGAGCACGCGCGCGCACACACACACACACACACACACTCACTCAGCAGCGTTCATGCAGGTGCAGACCTGAGTATATGTGTCACAGTGGCCGGCTGGGATCTGAGAGCGGCCCTGAATGTGCAGCACTGAGGCGGGGGATGGGGAGGGGGAGAAGAGGTGGAGGTTGGGGCGGGAAGGGGAAAGGGTGGCTGGGCAGGGGGTGGGGAGGGGCCACTCTGGGCTGTGGCAGTTGCCCGACAGAACAACAACACTTGGCACCTGGAGTTCCTTCCCGAGTCATGGGACCCCACAACAGAGAGGAGCCCGCTTCCCTGGTGCCAGCGGGGTGAGGAGCACAGTGCGGTGGCCGAGAGCACACTGGCCTCAGGCTCCTCACCACCATTAAAGCAGAGGTCACCCTTCCCAGCATGCCCTGCTGCAGCCTCCTGGGAACTTTCCCTTGTCCAGAGCTGCCCACCTAGGCTCCTGAGGAAATTTCCACCTCTGCCTAATTCCAGGCTGCTTCCACTCAAGCCACTGCTTACATGCTCCCTCACACCCTTCCATGTACACACACACACACACACACACACACACACACACACACACACACACGATTATGCACAAGCTTCAACTCTACAATAAGCCTTGCAGCCCAGGCCTCCCAGTCCCTCGGCCTGTTCGGGTGAGACTGTTTGTGTCGTAACACTATTCAGTCCCGGGCATTTTGAAGTACAGGACACTGTGCACATCCAGGCTTCCTCAGACTCCCAAAAGACAAAGGGCTTCGCCAACAAGGTCAGGGGAGTCTGGGAGGGCGGCTTCACCCTGGCAGGAACACTCGGGGTCACACAGGGCGCTCGGGAAGCCCCGAGGCCACCTTCCGTTGGCCTGTACATGGACACTGGCTCGGTCGTTAAGCTGCTTGTTTTAGGCCCCTCTTCCTAAAGCCCATGAGTGGCACAGAGAAACCCCGCTCCTAAAACACCTCTCCCTCCTGAAAACACCTCCAGCCGCCAAGGCCGGGCACCACACCAGCAAGGGGAGAGCCTGACGAAAGAACCCTGGAGGCTGGGCCGTCGAGCGAGCCTGAGTGAGTGCCTGCTTGGAAAAGGGCTCAGTTCACCGAGACACCCACGACTCCTCCGAGCTCATCTGCAATTGGAAGCTGAGCCTGTAGGGACATTTCCCCATGCCAGGCTGTGGCCGGTGCCAGCCGCACAATTACAGGCGCAGGGCACAGGCAGGGCCTGCCCTCCCCTCCTGCACGCTCCAGGGAAGCCCATAGCCAGCCAGCCGGAGAGACACACTTTAACACAGGGCCTGGGAGAACTCCCTGAGCCTCATGCCTATCACAGGGAGACACAGGACACATGTGTAACACAGAAGTCCCCCACAAACGGAGTCCTGCACAAGAGTACACGAGTGTCTCCAAATGTATTCAGGAGACAAAATGCAGACCTCAAAAGGGACTTCTTCGCAAACCTGGTTGTAAATGAAACAGCGCACTATAGTGTTGTCAGATGCCGTCCTCCTTACACATGCCTGCTCTTTCCGTGCCCTTTAAGCACTGATTTGGGGAGCGGGGCCACCTGAGCCTCTGCTCACGCCATTTAAGATTCACACAGAGCATCTGATTCAGTGTTCTGAGATGCAAAGAGTCTAAGGCAGAAAGAACCCCAAAGGCAGCGTCTGGGGCTATACAGTTCAGATATTTCCACGTATTTATCTAAAAGCAGAACACATCATGGCCAGTGTGAAAATTCCCCTCCAGGTCACCATACATAGCGAGTACCTCAGGCCCCAGTCCCTGGAGCCAAGGAACGTGACCTCCAGGCCTTTGATGGAGCCTTCCAGGATCACAGACACACCTGAGAGAGGAGAGCTGAGGACTGTGAGACCGTTTACACGCCACGTAACCCAGCCGCGGCTGGTGTCACACCAGAGCAGGCGTCCCACGCTTCACCTCCATCTGGGCATGAGTTTCCATGCACATCACCTGTCAGCCTCGTGCCCTGGACTGAGACACATGAATACTACACTCCCTGGCTGCCTGGCTGTGTCTGTGTCTGCCAACTGTCCCCACTGCTGCCGATGTCCCCAAAGCCGCCCGAGTATGCCCCGGAGGACTCACTGCCCACAGCACAATTCCTTGCACTCCTGTTTGTGGCAGCCGGCCCGCATTCAGTTTCCACGCGTGCAGCTTCGCCCGCACATGAAGCTCCACCATCTTCCCCCCAGAAACATTTACAAGAAAACACAGAGGACCAACCAGGGCAGAGAAGAGGACGACCGCCCATGGCACTACAGGCCACCTAGGGCACACGCAGCGCTAGGAGAAAGCGAACAGAGCACAGACGGGCAGGCATTTTATTCGTGACAGGCACATACCAACACACGGGTTACAGAAGTCCCCTGAGCATGAGGTCCCACAGTCCAAGCCAACACTTGCTCCTGTTACCAACAGCCGTGGAGCGCTCTTACTCCACGGGCACGCGTGAGCACACCTGCTGGCTCCCCAGACAGTCACCGTCACCAGGCTCTCACCCTGCCCTCCGACCTCCGCTCACTGCCTGTGTCAGACCCACATCCAGGTCCCGTGAGGAACAGGGAGAGAATCTGAAAATTCAGAAGTGCTCCAAAAAGCCTGCGCAAGAGCCATCCAGGGCGCGCCACGGCCAAGTTAGAAACCCCAATTTTTTTCTGAGTTTGAAGTTTTTAAGCCTTGCGGATGGTCGGAGTAGGAAAAAGGAAATTTACCAGGCAGGGCAGAGGAAATCTTGTTGTCCTCTATTGTGGTGGGGGGTGTTGCCCAACCCTGACTTATCTGCCTGATAAAGGAAGCCAAGCGCGCTAAGAGCCCGACCGTCGAAGGCGGGGGGAGCCTCTCCTTACCTTGATGGTGCTGGCCATAGTGCAATCACGTTTATCGATCGCTAATAAATGTAAATGATAATTATTGCTTCTCTCTGACCAGAAAGTGGTTTTGATGAGGTTGTTTAGAGCGGATGAGATTGTGCTAAGTCTGGGAAATGAAGTCAGCCAATGGCAGGAAGAGGTTTCTATTGGTCCTGGCTGCCCAGCCCAAAGAAACAGGATATTTGGGAGTGGAGAGATAAGAGACCCTGAAAACAATGTTGTTTTTCTTGATGATATGCAGCCAGGAGGATTTTTTTTTAATTAAAGATGGGGGGGTCTGGATTGGCCCGGCTGGGGCTGTCACAGCAGGTGTGACAGAGTGCACCAGGCCAGAGCAGGATGCAGATGTCCGGTCTCCGCACGGCTGCGCCTCAGCCTGGTGCCCGTCCCCCCCCCCCCCCCCCGCCAGGAACGCCACCCAGCCAGGACATGGGCCGAGGCTCACCAAACCACGCGGGCATGCTTAGCATGGCAGGCTGCTGGCCAGAGGGCTAGGTCCCCACAGCACGCCCATAGCCACCTCACGGCCCCTCTCCACACTCAGAAATCTCTGTCCCCAGAAATGAGCTGAAAACACAGACAGCTGGAATCAAGGTGACCGAGAAAACTAAAGGAAACATCAAAATCTTGTTCTCAGACAGTGGTGTAAGGCCCGGGGGAAAGGCTCAGTCAGTAGTGGTCGCCATGCGAGCGTGAGTGCAGGCCCCAGGGCCCACGACAGAAAGCTGCGTGTGGTGCCGCTCACACGTCTAACCCTGAGAGTCAGGGACGAGCG